GTGCCTGTGCTGCTTGGTGGTGTGGTGTCAAGCGCACAGTGCAGGTAGGCAGGATGCAGTGGGGAGATGGTCATGTGTGGAGCGGTTGTTTTGTCTCCTGCTGGAAGCTCCGTGAGGCTGCTTTCTCGTACCCTTGTTCGCTGGTCTCCAATAGGAGTCCAAGATGGCGGATCCGCGCTGCGTTAGCTGGTGGGGGACCTCTGCATGAATCTCTTCCCTCTCTCTGTTCTCTGTCAGTTTTCTCACTCCTTTTGGTGCTTGGCTGAGTTCTTTATCTCTTCATTTGATGTTTAAGTGTTTCAGGATTGTTGTATTCTCTGTTCGGCTTAGTTTTTCAGATCTTTGCTGTGGAGGGACGGTGTGGTGCTTCTGCCTAGAGCGCCATTTTGCCGGAACTCTGGGACCTTCTTTTTGACAGTGGATTCTTAGATGTGACACCAAAAGTACAGGCAACAAAGAAAAATAGTTAAATTGGACTTAATCAAAATTAAAAACTTTTGTACATCAAAGAATCTTATCAAGAAAGTGAAAAGACAACTTGCAGAATGGGGAAAAATGTTTGGTAACCATGTATTGGATAAGGATTTAATATTCAGAATATATAAAGAGCTCCAACAATTTAAGAGATGACAATCAGGACATGAAAAGATGCTCAACATTATTAGTCATAAAAATGCAGTCAAAACCAGAATGAAGTAGCACTTCATATCCACTAGCATGATTATAGCCAGAACGGTGGAAACTAACAAGTGTTGGATGTGGAGAAATTGGAACCCTGTGCCCTGTGCATTACTGATGGGAATGTAAAATGGTGTAACCACTGGTTTGGTGGCTCCTGAAAAAGTTAAAGAGAAATACCATGTGACCCAGCAATTCTACTCCTAGACATACACCCAAAAGACTTGACAGCAAGGATTCCAACAGATAGTTACGTACCAGTGTTCATTGCAGCATTATCCACAATAGTCAGAAGATGGAAAGAAGCCAATTGTATGTTAACGGGGAGATGAAAGGATAAACAAAATGTGGTATATACCTGCAATGGAGCATTATTCAGCCTTAAAGAAAAACGAAGTTCTGATACATGCTATACGTGGTACAACAAGGATGAACCTTGAAAGCATTGTGCTGAGTGAAATAA